GGGGGCACGGCGGGTGCAGGTGGGGGAGCTGGGGCTGGAGCCGGAGCATCTGCAATGGAAGGAAGACGTGGGTGAGATGGTGGCACAGCAGGGCACGGTGCCACCACCACATTCCCTCTGCCACCGAGTGAGTCTGCGTCCCTGGGCACATCCCCCAGCCCCACCTCCATTATCTCTGCCTGGAGACAGGCTGCCACCCCTCCTCTGTGCTGGCTGTCCCCACTGGGAAGGGGACATCACAGGCTGCTGCCATCTCCCCACACCCCTGGTACCTGTGCCGGTGCCGGTGGCCTCTCCGGTAACCACGGGGGCTGCTGGGGTTTCTATGACAACAGGGACGATTTCGATGGCGACGTCTCCGTCAGGCCCACGCAGGATCTGCACCAAACCCTTCTCCTCCAGCTCCGCCAGCCGCCGCTCCAGCGCCAGCCGGTAGCACTCCTGGGGCTGTGGGGTCGGCGGGCTGGGTGGCCGCGGCGGGCTCAGCTGCTCCTGCAGTGGTGACAAGCCCCGGCACATCGCTGGTGTCCCCCTAAACCCTGGTCCCCCAGGCACCCATCCCTTCCTCCAGCATCGTAGCACCCATGGGTGCTCACCCGCAGCGCCTCCAGCTCCCGCCGTGCCTGGCTCAGCTGCTTCTCCAGCTCCGCTATCTTGGCCATGGAGTCGTTCTCTGCATCCTGCAGCTTCTCCGTCAACTGCGGGGGACAAGGAGACGTCACTCAGCCCCGTCCCCATCCCTCCCTCGGGGCTGGCGTCAGCAGCTCCTGCCCACACGCCCACGTCCCACCTGGCTGACGTGCTCCTGCAGCTCCTCCATGTGCTCCAGCACCGCTGTCTTGGTCTCCGAGTCCTCCAGCATGGCCCCCACGTCGAAGACGTTGTCCAGGTAGGCTTGGATCTGCACCTGCAGCTTGTCGCTCTCGGTGAGGCGGAGGGTCTGCGTGGGACAGCCGGTGGTACCGTCACGGCCGGTGGTACCCCCCGGCACCCCCTCAGCCCCGGCAGCGGGGCTCAGCACCGGGGCAGTGCAGGGCACCCACCTCCAGGTAGTGGTCCAGCCCCAGGTGGGTGAACTCGTACTGCAGGAAGACGCGGAAGTTCATGTTCTCCACCGAGTGCACCACGATGTTGATGAACTGCATGCAGGCCACCTGCGGGGCGGGCACAGGCTCAGCGTGGCCACCACCATGGCTCAGTGGCCTGGTAGTCCCTGGGGACACGGTGGCCCCGGGGACTGTGCAGTGGATCAGTAGCCCTCGGGGACATGATGTCCCTGGGGAATGCAGGGTGGTTTCACAGCCCTGAGGACGTGGGGACGTGGGGAAGGCTCAGCAGCCTTTGGGGACATGATGGCTTGGGGACAGCACGGTGACTCAGAAGCCCTTGGGGACACAGTGACCTGGGGACAGCAGAGTGCCAGCCCCACCAGCCACTCACCATGAAGTCGATGTTGGTGTCCTCATTGCGGAAATATTCCATCAGCTTCTCAAAGCGGTTCTTCTCCCCGCAGACCTGGGGTGGGAGCAGGGGGTCAGCAGAGACATGGCCAGGGTGGGCACCCAGCAGCGGGGCAAGGCAGGAGGTACCCGCCAGTGATGCCATCCCAACCCTCACAGGTGCTGCCCGGCACCCAGTCCAGCTGGGATGTGGCCTTGGGGACATGTGTTGGCATGGGGACATCATGCTCAATGTCTGGAGCATCCCAAGCGAGTCACAGAACGGGCGTTTTCAGGATGGAGGATGATGCAGGGCTCTGCCTCACACAGGGAAACTGAAGCATGAACCCCGCTGGAGCACGAGTGTCAATGTGGGGACAGTGCAGCCCCACTGCGAGACTCACCTCCTTGAAGTTGTCGAAGGCAGCCAGGATGATGTCGTGGCCACCTCGGACCAGGCAGACAGCGGCCAGCAGCTCCAGCACCAGCGCCTTGGTCCTGCGGAGACGTGGGACACAAGGGGGTTGGCACCATGGGCAGGTGAGGACACGGGGGGACAGGGGACGAGGGATGGCTCCTACCTGGCGTTCTTGTTGTTGAGGCTCAGGGTGATCTCGTTGACACAGGCTGGGTGGTTCATCACCAGACTGAAGCCAGACTTGGGAGAAAAAGGGGCATTAATGGGGTTGTGCATCCTCCTGTCCCCACCCCAGGGATGCTCCGGGACCGTGGGTCATCCCCACGCCACGTCCCCATCAAACATGAGCTTGAGTGAGGACATCTCAGAGCAAGGGGCTGCAGAGCAGGTCCCACCCCGAACCCTGACCCTGAAGATGGCACCATGGGGGCTGGAGACTTCCCCGAGGACACGGCCCTCTCCCACCTGGTAGTTCATGATGGCACGGAGACACATGATGCAGACGTGGACGTCGTCCTTCTGGCTGACGAGGCGGGAGTTCCGCAGGGCCTTCCTGCTGTGCGAGGGGTTCAGCCTGGGCAGGCGAGAGGGCGGCTGAGCGGGGCCTGGGGGGAGCGGCCGGGGGGCGCAGCACAAGCAGGGAGGGGGCAGCACATGGGTGAGTGGCAGCAGAGGGGGGACACACGACACCAAGGGACCCGGGTGGTTGCATCCCCATGGGAGAGACCCCCATGTCCATGCCCATCTACAAGACCTTGGGCTGGGTGGGGGGTGATGGGGGGGTGGGATGGAGGGTGGGTGCCCCTCGTGCGCACGGGTGCTCGCGGAGGCTCACCGGGAGCTGCCGGGTGACTTGGGGCTACTGTCCCCATCGCTGCCCGGGGCGCCGCAGGGGACGCTGGGGTGGACGTGGCGGAGGAGGG